AAGCACAGACCTCCGCAGGGGGGTCTGCATTCCACGCAATACACTTCCCTTAGTCCCAGACAGGAGGGGGTTGGGTTACAGATAGCCATCTCCTGCCTTAGGAGATACCAAGCAGTACACAGGAATACACTTTACATCATATTACATTCATGGGGGGTTACACTTTAAGTGGCTGGTTTGGCCACAGATAGTAATAGCAATGCAGTAATAGCAAGATATATGCAAGGACATTCTGTAAGTGGCTAGGTTTGCCACAATCCTCCCCCAGAACCAAGCCGGCATACACAGTCTGATCCCAACGGATCGGCTTGGGGATGTCCGGAGGAGTACTCACAGGTCACTTTTCAAGTTCAGTTTGTCTGGATAACCCGTCGGTGTTGCCATTTTGTTTCCCAGGGCGGTAATGGATGGTAAAGTCAAAAGACTGCAGCACCAAACTCCAGAGCAGCAGCCTGACATTGTCTCCTGACACCCGGTTCAGCCATACCAATGGGTTGTGATCTGTGAGTAGCGAGAATGGTTGTCCGTACAAAGAGGGCTGCAGCTTCTTGAGGGCCCACACCACGGCCAGGCATCAGAGACTGTCTTATCATTGAGCCTTCGATAGTCTACGCAGAAGCGGGTAGTTCCATCGTGCTTCGGCACCAGAACTACTGGGGAGGCCCATGGGCTATCAGAAGGTTCTATAACCCCCAATTGTAACATTTCCTCAATCTCCTTACGCATATTCTCTTTTACAGACTCGGGGATGTGGTAAGGAGGTTGACGGAGGGGTGTCTGCCCTGGGGTTTCTACATGGTGTGTGGCTAATGGGATATACCCAGGGAGGTTAGAAAAGGTGGCCCCTTTTTCCCCAATTAAGCTTTGGGCCTGGGCCCGATCCTGGGGACTTAAGCGCTCCCCTAGCTGTAGTGCTTCCCGATCCTTATTTTGGCCTTCTTTCTCTAGGAGGTCTGGGAGGGCAAATTATTAAAATCCTCTGCGGTAGAGGCACAAATCGCGGTCACCTCCTCTGTGCGCTCGTGGTAAGGCTTCAGCATGTTCACATGGAGCATGCGTCTACCCCCTGCTCCAGCACACGGGCCAATTACATAGGTGTGTGACGAGACCAATCTCGCCACATTGCATTGGAGAAGCCTGGTTGCTCGCCTGCTGCCTCTGGACTATGGCCCCCTTTTAAAAGACTTTATTTCGCCTGAAGAAAAGCTGTATTCGTGCTTTTCTGCCAGTTGTTCGGTAGATTCAATCTACCGAACAACCGCACGAATAAATAGACCACCTGGGAGCTGGAGTGTGCCGGCAATTAACCTCCCTGAAGCTGCGGTTAACCGCAGCTTAATTGATGAATGCTGGGTGGCCGCCATTCGTATCCCGAACACGAGGTCGCGGCCATTTTAAACATACGAATGCACAGCGGTGTTCGCCCCTATTTTCATGGAACTAAAATCGGACACAGTTTTGCGCGAACACCGCAGAAGCCGCCGACCTCCCTTCTTGTTCGGTGGAAGTGCACGAACGGCCCGGTGTTCGGTAGTTTTGGTTGAATGTGTTATACCCCAGATAGGAATCCCATGGAGCCCATTCGTATGAAACTGACTGTAAAGACTTTGGCTCCATGGCGATTAAACTGTATTCGGGTGGTCTGAGCGCCATTCGCTTAATAATGTGCGCTCAGACCTGAGCTATCTGGGGATATGTTACATGTCTGTGTTTTATGTAAAAAATGTTACTTTATGTATTTTAAAGTATAATACTGGTTTTGTATCCCAACATGTGTAATGGAGTTTTGCCTTTGTCTTGGGAGATAATTTAATTACTTCCCAATTATCTCCCAGGGCAGAGGGGAGGAAGCCAGGATGCATTGTGGGAATATATTGTGACTGTGTGTCCTATTTGTCTACTTGTCTGTCTTTTGTCACAGTCTCCCATTTGGTCCCCTAGGCGAGTGTCCACCAGGTGGGAGACCTGCATAAATACTGGGCAGGTAGCCCTCATTAAACAGACCACTGCTTGACCCTCAACACGGAGCCTTGTCTCGTTCTTGGGGGGATTCACTGTATGCTGTTAGAGACTGATTGCCAGGAGTGTAAGCTGATTGTCTACTTTTCCTGTTCGTCTGCTAGCAGCTATTTGGGAGGTTCCAGTTCGGGAGTTGGAGTGCTATTTTGTATCCAGTTCGGGAGTTTGGTGTTCTGCAGTAGCTGTGCCTGTATCTCTGGAAAGGGGGCCGATCACCTAAACGGTTTTTACCCCTTTTGTGCAAAACGGTCCGTTACAATGTGCCATCGCAGATTTGCTCTACCGCCTTGCATGGGCCCTGCCAGGAGTCCTGCAGCTTGTCATTAGGGACTGGTCGTAGGATTAGCACCTTCTGCCCGACCTGAAAGCTGCGGTCCCTGGCCCCCCATTATACCATCTGTGTTGTCTTTGCTGGGCCGCTTGGAGGTTGGTACATATGGTCTGGGTCAAAGCCTCTACGTGTTCCCGGAATTCCAGCACATAGGGTACAATAGGGGTACCATTAGTGGTCACTCCCCCCTCCCAGTGCTTTCTGATTAAATCTAGGGGGCCCCTCACCCTCCTTCCGAACAATAATTCAAAGGGAGAGAACCCAGTGGATTCTTGGGGAACTTCCCTATAGGCGAACAGCAAGTGGGGTAAAAACCTCTCCCAGTCCTTCTGCATGTCTATGAACGTCCGGATCATCTGCTTAAGTGTTCCGTTAAACCATTCCAGAGACCATTGGACTGAGGGTGGTAGAGTGAATTAAGGATAG